ATCACAAAGTTAATTAACTCAAAAACTACTCATTCCAATTTTGATTCTAATACGTAAACATTTTCAGAAAATTTTTTAAAAATAACTTACAGTAAAAAAATGGGTTTCTCATTTGAGTTGTCAAGTTGTCAGTCTCAAGTTAGTGTCATCAAAAGAAAAATTAAGAAAAAGTCTTCGAGTAAGTTTTTTTTTAAATTCTAAGAGTCAGAATTTAAATATCGGCGTTATTTTAGTAAAAAGAGAATGAATAGTTTACGATTTGACCTCGTCTTATTTTAATTTTTTCAAAAAACAAAGAATTTATAAAATTATACTCAATAAACCTGTAATTATAGGTGGGTAGTAAATAATTTAAGTTTCATATAATTTCAAAAAAGTTTTCCATTSTAAAATGAAACAGTGTGTTAATACAATACTGCAGTATACACCCTTGAGTATTATTGATTCAGGTTTCGACGAATCCRCGTACAGTTTAAACTAAAAGTAAAAAGGCAGTTAAGTATAGAGATAGTAATTAGTAATTAGTAATTGCCTATTTATGAGCAAACACCCAGTACAGTGTTTAATGTAAACTCTCAACAACATTTGCTGTTGTTTGAAACAACCTCGCCAGTCTCATCGATAGTAAAATGAATTGCATTGTCAAARTGCAAGGGTTGCGAAATGTGTACCCTTATTATTGTTTGTAATGATGTTTCTGACKGAGTCCATAAAAAAATCGCTATCCAATTATGATGAATTTTCATGGCAATGACAATATGCCTCATCAATCGGCAAGCAAATATGTTCTCATATATTATATATATATAGCTTATTTTCAAATTTAAAGCACAGATGATGTCGAAATATTAACCCTGAAAATGTATGCTCGAAACATTTTAGTGGATGTCGTCAATATCATGTCATGTGGGAATTCTAGGAGTGGTTCTTTGTAAAATTCCTACGACGGGCGGAGAAGAGGGTAAAAGGGTAAAATATTTTGTGTATACACAATTCTATAYGTGTAATATACATATTTAAATTTTCTCCCGTTGATAGGTTAGGAAAAGTGATTTCATAATATTATGTTCCATACATTTATTAAGCTTACCCATATAAAATATATAGTTAATATTTATTATTTATAATAATTGTTTTGATGATTGTGTTTTCAATTGACTTTTGAAGTTATTAGTTTATTACGAACTTACATATTTATAAAGGCCAATGAGGAGTGGGAACAAGTAACAACCACTACCCTTAAAACCATTACTCTAGAGAATTATTGGGGTGCAAACATAATACAAATATAACGTATTASTCAACGGATAAAATATTAATAMAACATACTACCTAATGACAATTCCAAGTTTTCGAGTAGAAAGTATCGATTTTAGTTGTCAGACGAATTTTACGAGCTAAATCTGATTGTAAATCAATCAATCGTAACCCAGCTAGCCACGCCTTTGGTACGGACCGAARGGTAGTCATGATTTGTGGAGGATCTGGCATTTATAAGTCTAGTTGGAAAATTAGTATATTATGATTACTGTTTTTACGATCGCAATGCACGCCGTGCGCCATACTCCTTTAGTTGGAACTTGAAACAAGGTCGTCCATGCTATACATCTTTAAAAATTAATAATACCTAATGTTATTGTCTTATAATTTAAAATGCGTTTCAATTCTGTTAAAAAATAACATCTTGTAGAAAACCATAAAATCATGATAGTAGGTAATTAGTGAATATTAGAAAATACGCGAGCACCGTAAAATATGACGTGTGCCTATTATTTATTGTTAGAATGCGAGATGCAGAAGGCGCGTCATACAAACAAAAGGTCAAGGAAGAAATCGATATCACTTGAAAAGAATATCAATCTGAATATTTTTATCTGAAAACTCGCATATTTTAAATACCATAGTATGATTTGTTATATTGTGAAAATATTATATAAACTTGTGATGTGCGTGTAGCGTGTRTATACAAAAAGAGCGATAATTCAAAATTTAGGCATTCGATGGAGACACGGCGCTACATAATACGAACCATTATAAATCAATATATGTCCATCACACTTACGTAATATTAAAATTTAAAACGTTAACACTTTTTTACGTTTTATATACAAAGTAAAGTATTTATTGTCGAAGAAAAAATAAAATTTTCCAAGTTCCAATGGAGATATATTAAAAGGAAAATACTATTGTGCAATTAAATATTATGCTGCATGTAATATAATATAAATAATATATTAATATACTTAAACAAAATATAATAGCCAATCGCATGATACAAACAATTTTAGATATAGTTCACATGTTGGAAAATGTTGATGACCCATTTATAATGTATAGTATACCTTAATTTATTAATTGGCGGTGGGGTGGTGTAAATAAAATAATATATAATATTATTATTTATTATTCATCTTGTGCTATGCAACGTCGATGTATTGTTACTACAACTGTATACGCATATTGGATATTATGGACTATTATCCTTATCCTCATCATATAATGTTTAATAACTAGGAAACTACTCGTTCGTATGTTGATTTTGATACATCAAAATTATCTAAAAATTATCCGCTTAGTAATTTATAGTAAAAAAAAAAAAAATTGTGGGGAGGAGAACAAAGTTTTTATCGCCAAAGGACACTCCTTGAGGCTACAAGGTACTGATATACTGTGGTTTTTTTTCTGACTAAAGCAATAAAGTGTTGCTCAGTTGTTCGTTTTAAATCTCAACAACAACATTACTTTTATTTGAAACAATCTCATCGTCGCCTCGTCGGTCTCGTTGGTGAAATTAATCACATTGCGAGAGGTGCACGAYTGCTGATAACTCGTATTATAGACGTATCGAATAACTGCCAATTTCAACGTCATCTATTTATTTCATCTATACGTTTACCTTTTACGTGTTTAGAACGTTTTTAGAATAGATTATTTTCATAAAACTCAACAACTCATATCGTGCAGATTTAAATAAATGTTTTTGAGTACCTACCAATTTATTTTGAAAATCTAATCCTTTGATTTTTTGAACTAGTAGACTACCGCAGTAATGGCTGTCTTCTCCCCAAGACCTTAATTTTCCTTTTGTCCGCAGCGAAATTATTAGAAATCAAGTGACTAATCTTCGTATTATTTTTATAATAATTATTGCTCACTTGATAATATCATATATACAGGCACGATGGAAAGACTGCTCTAGAATAAATTGAAAATGTAATTTTTTTTTATTCATATAATATTTTAATTGAATAACATTTATTTATATATTTTCTATACAAGTACAATAAATTAAAAATAAATTACTATAATATACACTAAAATAATAGTAATAGTCTATATAAAATATTATTATTATAACTTAAATTAATATATTATATATTAATTTTATTATAGGTCTATAAACTAACAATAATTAGTAATTAGTAACAATAATGATATTTTACTGGAAACATTCGAAATGTAAAGTAAACCATTTGTCACGTTTCATCAGCTGAAACCGTTTAAAATATATATATATATATATACCTATCGTCCATTTGACTATTAAAGTACACCTTTATAGTGGTGTTGGTAAATAAAACTCGTTAAAAAATATTCAGATATCATTATTACACATGACTAGGTTTACGGTATCTATAAGTATATCAGTTCTGACATATGTTTTAATGTTATAGTAAAATGTATAATATACATATATTTTGGATAAAAAAAAACAACGTAACCACTAATTCAACAACAATAACATAATAATATATTGTGTTATACACCTATATCATAATGACCGACACGGAAGATTCGTAATAAACAACAGGTACGAAAAAACAAAATAATAATTAGACATTAATATAATATTTCCTGTGTTTAAATTCGTCRTTTACGCTTTCAAAAAAAGTATAATATAGAATAATAATTTTGTCGTCGTACGACTCAATCAATGGGAGAATGGGTGACGACCATCGAGGCTCGCATAATATATACACGAGGGTCGTGAGCGTGGACGTATGTGTATAAAAGTGACTAAACGTTTAAAAAAGAAAAATATAATAAACAAGGTGAAGTATACGTYGTGATTATAATGACGTATACTTACATAAACATAATATATATTTAGCCTAAAACGGGTTCGTTATTRGCACGCCGCAATCTAAAGATGTGAGTCATACGCGGCGCGAAACAAATTTCTAATAACATAAAAATATATAAAAATGCGACGTCGGAGGTTTGGAAGAATCAGTAATAAGTTAAAAATCGAAACAACAATAGTTTCCTAGCGAATAGTGCCATCGACTTTAAATCGCATGCACGTGTGACTATTCTGTATTAATTTATTGATTTCTGTACACAACTCACTTCTGATGATATTATTATATTAATATATCAAACAACAAACGAGGAACTCTAAAAATACAAAAATATGTAGAATGATATCGTTTTTTGCTTGCGAAAAAAGTTATTTATGCAGGGCACGAAAAACCTGGATATTTTGGATAATAGGTGGGGGCTCTTGGCGTCTTCTTGTTGTCTCGAGTTTGGAAACTGTCCAGCACGCCACTTGTTTTTAAGTAAAAAAATATTGTTTTCGTACGAATTCTTGCGGTGGGCACATGCARTTTTACGTTTTCACAGCGGAAAAAAATAATGCAAAACGCGCGCTGGCTGATGTGGAATGTTCTGTTTGTTCGGTGAATGATGATGATGTATCATCGCGATCAACGAGATATTTACAAGTCGCGATGATGATTGACGGTCGACTCTTGTCACACCGACGGTGATATTGTAATATTTAGGTAAAATTAATGGCCGTCCTATTTTTGTGCAACATTATCGACACACAATGTCATACACAATCATCACGGGATATGTTAATTTTTTCGAAACTATATAATTATATAATGCTATTACTAATATATCGATCACGCGATCGTCGATGTCGTGACGAAACGATGTACTTACGACCGCCGCTACGCAAGTTTAAATGAAAATCAGTCCATCATATTATACGCGTATGATGGTTGTGCGCCGCAATCGACCGATCTTCGTCACGTCGTCTCTGCGGACACGGTATTCCGGGATTCACTAGATATCCTTAAATACCCCAGCTCATAAGGAGGAGGGATAGATGTCTAAATGAAAATATCCCCTCTGATTAACGGACTAGACTCTTGTACACGGCGACGTACTTAAATTATTAATATATAACTGAAATAAGTATTTAATAAATTATTGTAATATAATAATATGATAAACATCATTGGTATACTATATCAGTGGCATAATATTTAATTCACATTTTTGATGTTGCAAATTTTCTTTTGATACAATAATGGATATTCAGACCTCCTTGTCTGTATTTTGAATGCCTCAATTCTTCCTGTGACACAAAAATAAGTTTAATCAAAGTTATCGTCACATTAAAAAAAAATTAACTGTAAAATATCGACGAAGAACCAAATTATGGTTTTAATTGACATGCGGTAACAACCGTGAAGATAACCGTCTTATTATCTTAATATAGAAAATTACATTTAGATAATCGAGTAAAGAGTTGATTATGTTATTTTTCAAAAATACACACAACGACGAAGGACCCACGCCCCAAACGCATTCGAATACTTTAGGTGTTACTTTTGCAACAGCCAAAAACGATTTGGTGTTGCCAGTGCAGCTATAATATTTTTTACACTAGCAACACCCATATTACGCCACTGGGAGTATAGAAACTTGTTTGATACGTAGTATGGCGTATAATATTATTTACCYAAGTGTCAGATATATATGTAAATATATGTAATTATTGTATATAATATCATACTTAAGTAATACTAGAAATTAGAATCGTGTATTTGTATGTACCTATATTATGTATATGGTATGTCTGTGTGTGTAGTGTGTGTACAAGCGTGTGTACCTAAGTGTATAGTAGTAAATTGTTCTAGATAATAAGTGGCGATCGCAACAGTCAGTGGCGGTGATGGTTCTTCTTGAAAAACGGCGTCACCAGCCATGTTGAAGCACCGAACAGCAGTATGACACCCATGCCGTGGAACACGGGCTTGTACGAGCCAATAGTCTCGAAAATGTATCCGGCCACGGGCGGCCCGATGAGCTGCACCAGCCCGTTGCAGAACAGCGATATTCCGTACGACGAGGACAGCCGCTCCTCGCCCAGCATGTCGACCATTATGACGGCCGTGATGCCGACCACAACGCCAGAACCTAGTCCGAACGCGGCGCACGCGAAACACATGGTCGGGTAGTCGTCGGCGAACGGAAGCACGAACAGTGCGACGCCGGACAATACGAGCCCACTTAAGTAGTAGTACCGCTTATCCAGGCGGATCCAGTCAGACAGTGTGCTTCCACCCACTCGGCCTACGAGGTCGAGCACGGCCACCACGGACAGTAGGTACTGCGAGCTGCTCTTGTCGTGGCCGATGCTGATGGCATACGACGGCAACAGGATGGCAGAGTTCGTGTACCCGATGGCCGTGGTGGCGTTGGACACGAGTATGACGATAAACAGCGGGTCGGACAGCAATTGCAGCGCGCCGGCCACGGTCTTGCATCGGGACGACGTATGCTGCTCGACGGACGCGTCGCCATTATCGGCTTCCGGCTGCTCATGCTGCTTACCGGACCGCCGTTTGTCCCGCTTATCTCGCCTCTGCCGCCGGCGCTGCTCTTGCTGCTGCTTCTTCTTGGGCTGTGACTCCTCGTACAGGCTGACCAACGTGCTGCCGTGGAACGGCGTGCTGACATACCTCAGCGACGACAACGACGACCCGGCTGCGCCCCGGAACACCGGCGCCTGAAGGTTACTGCAGTGCTGATGCTGGTAGTGCAAGTTGTGGTGCTGCAGCTGCATGTGGTCGGCCGCACCGCCGCTGGTAGTCCGCAACAGACCGCAACTGCTGAAAGCCTGCAGTGWCTTTGGCGAACAGGAACCGCTACCTAGCGGCCGCGYCACTGACTTGCTGTTGACCGCCGCGATGATCGCCACTCCGCCACTGGCCAGCAAGTACCGGTCGTCCGCTGGCACCTTGACGCTGGACGCGTTCAGCTCGTTTACAATCACGTAACCGTTGAGGTTCTGCGCCAGCAGCGACACCGTCTCCTGGTGCCTCCCGTCATCGTCGTCGTCGTCGACGCACCGGCGCAGTTCTGTCAAACTCTTGCCGCCGGCCATCGAATTTGCCGCGGCCACGGCCAGGGAAACCGACGACGTCACCACTGCATCCGCTTCGCCACCGCTGTCCAGCCCGTCGTCCGCGCACTCGCACTCGTCCACGTACTGCTTGACCATGTGCTGCTCGACTGGATGGTACAGCATCGCGCCCACCCACACGTTGAGCGTAAGAGCTCCGAGTATCAGCACCACCTCCCTGCGCCACACACACACACGCATATTACACACACACACACAGCACACATATATTTACGGGATGTTTTTATTTTTATTATTTTTATTTGTTTTTTTATTTTTTATAGATGGGCAGGGGGAACAACACAACCCGAAAATTCGAACGATTTATATAAGATATAATATATTCAAGAGTTTTCGGACCGTTTCGGTATAGCGTATATGCATTATGCATTATAATCATATTAATATATTATATAATATAATTTASCATACGGCACGTGTTATTAGGGGTAGGGGTGGGAATTATGTTTGTTTTGTACTTGTATCCGTAGTGTTCGATTAGGTAGCCCAGGAACGGCGGCAGGAACATGGAACCAAGACAACTTCCCGATATGGCCACTCCGTTGGCGAATCCGCGATATTTGACGAAATACGATGTCACGATGAATATGCCGGGTGGAAACGCCAGACCTGCGCCGCAGCCAAACATCATCCCGTAACTAAAATACGCAATGGTCCTTAGTCGTTAGCAAAACAGTTAAAAAATCAACAGGTTTTTTTTAAACACGTTAAGAAAAAAAATAACAATGAAGTATAGGCATAGGTTAGGTTAGGTTAAATTTTAAACGAATGAAAGTTTGTACGGGAATTTGTGATGATAATTCTAACAAAATTACATCTTGGAAGTAGATATAACACATTATCATAAACACACACGTCGCCTCGATCGATGGATTCTTTCGGAGTATATTCTTGTATTGACACAAAAAGGGGATTTTTGAAGTAAAAAAAACAGATAGGAAATTGCGAAATTGGGAGAAAAAAACGCTTTACTCAAATGGTGGTGGTGAATAAAATGATCGTTAATTTGTTTTTAGAACATGTCAAAATATATATATCCGATTGAATTATCCACTATATGTGCTACATATAGCTTAGTATTTCGTTGTCTCGTGGGATTCGAAAACACGAGAGAAATACCATCAAATACCATTTCTGCGATTTCAGCTAGACGGTATATAAGCTGAAAACTATATTCTACGTAGAATAATTTAGTTTCAAACTTAATTTACAGCAGTTGCTGTTTAATGCTTACAGATCCATATACGTCACCGTAAATTTTTATACGAGCAATCAAAGCGGACGAGAGATGGAATTTCACTTCAAGGACGTTTCGTCAATATTTAATGTGATTTAATTTTGGTTTGCCTGCACGTACCTYCTACCCATGATATATAGTATATTGTTATAAATTAGAACAACTTAATAATTTTGAACCCAAATCAGGTRTATTGATTCCAGATTKTGATACAAAATAATAATATATACAGTGAGTTAGAAATACAGTTTGTAAGCCATAAACAGTCATTAAACACAAAAGTACATGGATTTGCTGCAGTATAGATAGCTTATAATAGGTAGGTACATTCCATTTTCCGTCACTCAATAACCTTCTCTTTGACCTAACATCAGTCGGACAAGAATGGTACATGGCTGTCATGGCTGTTTGTATTATTGGCACAATCTTCTCATTAACTATATATTACATATATATATATATATATATATATATAGATTCTGTCTAATGTCATTTAAAGTTTTAACATAAATTTATTTAATTAATGACATAGTTATATTTAAATACTTTAGAAAGTCAAATTAACAATTAGTATAG